CCATATCTCAATTGTGCAGAGGGATTTCCTTTATCAGCCGTTTCTTTAAATATATTTACAGCCATATTAATTCTCTCTTTTGTATTAATTTGTTTTAATTCAGGAATATCCTCACCATGATGATAATAATAATACCCTAGCCAATATTTCGCTTCAATATTGGTTGATGAATGATATTTGAAACTATCCCATGCTATTTTTCTATTTCCATCATTAGATTTGTGCTCACGAATTGCGTCGTTCACAGATAGAATATTAATAGTTACGGGTGATGATGATTTTTCATTTCGGTTATGGTCCTCTGGATTCTCAAATCCATTATTATACTGGAAAAAGATCTCAGAATAATTTTCATTTAATTTGTAAAAATCACGACAAATATCAGATATGTTAGGGCGCCACGTTGGTAAATTTTCCATTGCTGAAAGATAAAGAGAAAAGAGGTCAGTTAAGATTTAATACTTAATATTAAAATAATAATTCAATATATTACCTCTAGATACTATAAGTGTCCATTCACGAGGTACATCATCTGAAAACGGTTCGATAATTCTTTCTCTTACGCGTTTTCTAATACTACCAAGTAATTCTGATTTATCAAGATCCGAATGAGGTTTTTTCAATTCAGCAATTTCCCACAATAATGCCCCAACGCTAGAATATATATATATATATATTTTTTTTTAAAAAAATAAGTCAGTAAAGTTTTTAAAATAATTGAATCACCCAATACACATTAAAATCCTGGGCGAGTTTGGTAATTAAAAATTTTTTAATTTACCTATAGACTTCACACTTAGCATCATAAGAAACACTTTTCTTTTTAACATCACTGTTATTTTCTTCATTGTCTAATAATAATTTCTCCGGTGCCATATATCTTATATTTTCTAGATTATGTGAAATATTTCGAGTAATATCCGAGAATTTTTTGCTTAAACCAAAATTTGCTATCCGAACTTTATGATGAATATTTACTAAGATATTTGCTGACTGGATATCATGGTGAAGGATCTAATGTTTATAATTTTTTTGTAAAAAGAAAAAATAAAAAAATAAATAAATTTTTTTTTATATAAAATAAAATAAAATAAAAAACCCTTGATCGTAGTAGCTTACTTTACATTCATGAAGATACGCGACACCGCGGCAAATATCCAAAGCAAATCTAATTTTGGTTACCCAGTTCATCATTTCTCTATAATTTGTATAATATTCATGTAAATTTCCATGTTCCATCCATTCAGTAACCAAATAAAATTTGGAATCTTCTTGAGCCACACCAAAAAACCTTATAATATGATCAGAATCTTTTAATTCTTTTAGAATATTAACCTGCTTTCTGATTTCAATTTGAATCGGAGCTTGGGCTGGATAGTGACTATGAGCTTGCTCATTATTGGTTTTTGAAGGAACAGCAGCATTGGTATTTGAAAATTCTTTAAATGAAACCTCGGTACAATCAGCTAATGATATGCGTTTTTCAATTCTTTTTGAGCGCGTATAATTGATTTTCTCATAATTTTTATAGTCAAGTAATGGTTCATTTCTTTCCACTCTAGTTATAACTTCA